CAAAGCTGCGGGGACTGCTGGGACACCGAGGGTGCTCCTGCAGCAGGGGCCAGCTGGGGCCCAGCCCCTGGGAGAGCCCTAATGGGGTTCAGGGGCTCATGTGATGTGAGGGCAGCAGGTTTGCTCTTTCCAGAGCACTTAGCACGTCACCTTGTTTTCGCCAGTGCCGAGCCTCGCTTAGCGCAAGGCCCTAAAGACAAATACAGCTAATTATATCCTCTACGAGTAAGTGCCCCTTTTCCCTTTAAAATGTTTTGCTTTCTCATTCGGCGTCCTTGGTTTAAGTGTTTCTGCCACGGCTCCCCATCAATCAAGAGGTGAGCAAGCTGCAGCAGCCAGCACCAGCCGGGGCCACCCCAGCCGGGAGCTGATGCCAGCGGCTGTCACTGGCGCGGGCGGCATCTTGAGGCTCCCTCATTGTTTGTGTACACTAATTAATCAGGGGCATCTCGGGCGGTTTGATGGGATGTGCTGCTACGTGATGTGGAACAGAACAGGAGGGATCACACGGAGTTCTTCTCTGGGGGGGCCATGGCGCAGGCGAGCGCGGGCACAGGGCCGGGGGCTGCGCTGGAGGAGAGGCTGCGGTGAAATGGTCCAGCTGGGGGAAGGGGAGGCAGATGGAAGGGAAAGGAAAGGGTTGCCGTGGAAAGATGTTCGGGATCTTTCTGGTGTTTTGGGGGTGGAGAAGCAGCCCTTGGTTCTGCATGTGGATGGGTCAAGTTCACTGCAGTGTTTTCTGTAGGAAAGCAACCCCAGAGACAGCAGCAGTGCTGGGAAGTCGTGTGTTTCCTGGCCCAGAGCTCCCTGCTTCCGAGGGGCTGTGACTTACAGAGCAGCCCTGGGGAGGGAGAGCGGCTTGTCCACCGTCACCCCAGAGGGGTGAGACCCCGTGTCCTGGTCCCACTGTCAAGCCCAGCAGAACATCTCCAGGGCCCCTCTACACAAGGACTTAACCACCCACCTGGGAACCACCAACTCAGACTGCAGACAATTAACTAAAAGACTAGTGTGATGAAACCCCTCGAGTCCTGGAGGTGGGATTGGGAGAGCAAATGCTGCTGTTGCCCAGGATCCCATCCTGGACTGCAGCTCTTCCCAGGGTCCTGTGCCCTGGGACATTGCAGCAGTCCCTAGCACACAGCTGGGGGACACCACAGCCCCTTGGCCTCGGCAGGCCCTGTTTGCCCCCACACCACAGGGTGTCCTCCTCCCCACACGCTGGACCCTTGGGGTGCTGGAGCTCTGGAGGTGAGAGCTCCTTCAGCTGCTGTCCCCTGGCCCAGAGAGGTGCCAGAGGCTGCAGGCTCCTGGAGCTACAGTAACTCCTGTCTCCACAGCTCTGCTGGGGTCACCTCAGCACCCCAGGGCCAGACGGGACCCGTGTGGATGTTTGGATGGATCCTGCTCTCCTCAGGCTCCTCCGTGAAGACCCAGTATCTGCACCCAGCCTCCTTTTCCTCCTGGGGGGGTGCAAATTCTGCTCCTCTCCTCAGGCTGGTGGGAGGTTTGCAGGGGAGATTTGGAGGGGGTGTTTGGAGGGGTTGTTTTGCCAACCCCTGCATGCCTGTCGGGGTCTGTCAGAGGCCCCCACGCTGCAGACATTGTGCTCAGCAACATGAGCCCTGTCTGGCAGAGAAAAGCCCTCTCACCTGCTGCCTCTTGCTGAAAGCAAATGAGCTGCAGATGTTGAGCTCTTCACCATGGTGTAGAGAAACACACGTAGGCACCAGAGCAGCTCTCACCCTAAGCAGGGCTTTGCCACCAGCTGCCCCAGGAGTGCCTTTAGCTGCATTTTTTAGCTCAAACAGAGGCAGAGCACAGGCTGCACACACACCTCAGGCCCTGAGACATAGACCTGCCTAGGTTTAGTCCCGTTTGGTGCATTTGCAGCAGGGTCACTTCTTGCCCTGCTGCGTTGCAGGAGCTGCACTGCTGGAGCCCCAGCACACCCAGAAACTGGGGTGGAGCTCACACAGCACTGTGCCCAGCACAGGTCACTCTGCTGGCACAGCAACCAGGGGCTCTTACCACACTGCTTGATTTGCATTTTGATATTACAGCTATTCCACAACCTTTCTGCAGAGAAACGTGGTGCTTTGCAGGCTGGCCTGGGCTGAAGTTTCCGGGCTGGTCTCCCTTGCTCTGCATCCTGCACAGAGCCATGGGGAGGAGACCTCTGAAAGACTCTTGTCCTGCATGGCATGTGCTTCCTGACCTCAGCTTCCACACCATGTCCTTGCATGCCCAAAGCTCCCAAAACCCCATGTCCAAAGGGAGGCAGCTGCTTGTGAGCAGCCCTCTGCAACAGGATTTCATGTAAGTGGTGCAAAAAACCCACCCCAAACCTGCGATGCCCAGGCTCGGGGCTTGCAGGAGAAGGGCAGAAGGGCTGGGGGGGCGCTGCCCTCCATCCCAAAGCATCCCTGCCCACCGGCCTCGGGGCGGGGCGGGGGGGACCCACGGGACCCTGGCCACCGAGGGCCGGGAGCTGGCGGGAGGGGCTAGAAGGCAGCCCGGCACTGGGCGGGTGGCATGTGCTGCTGGGTGAGCTCCTCCAATGGCTCCGCTCTCTGCTGGGCCACCTGGAGGTGGGCCCGTCGAGAAGGTTCCTGCACCCCAGCCCCTCAGCCTGCGCCTCCACAGCTCGGTTTGCAGATCCTGCCACTCCAACAGCTTCACCTCTGCATCTGTTCCAGAGTCGAGGTCAGGATCTTTGCACCAGCAGCTGCTGTACCCCCCAGGTCTTGGACCGGGGCTGGAGGGAGGGGGGCCCTGACCCACCCAGGGGGTTGGTTTCTGGTCTGCCCGGGGGGGCTGGGGATGTGCACGGGGGAGCCTGCACCCATGGCAGCTCCACGAGGGCTTCCCCAGCCAAAGCCTGGGGAGGCTGCTGGGACACCCCAGACATGGGGAGCTGTTTCCAGTCCAGCCACACAGGCAATGCTGCATAGGAGGGGGCTGGTGGGTGGCCTGGCTCCTCTCAGCTTCCTATTTCTACACTGTAAAGAGGGTATTTTCTGTTTTTAGCATAATACTGCAAACCAAAAAGCCTAATTCTAGCATAGCCCTCTCCAAAACAAACCCCAACCCTCTCTGCATGTTGTGGACCTCCTGTAGGGCTGGTTAATTAGTGAGAGATCAGGACCCACCGCAACAGCAGGAAGGTGCCTCACCGTGGCTGGGTCACCCCTGGTCGGGGCTGAGCACGGGCAGCATTGGTAGGGACAGCCCCAGCTCCACCAGCCAGGGTGGGTGGCCCAGGTGATGGGTGAAGCTGTAGCTGCACCCATCGTGCCCATCCCTGCTGCGGGCAGGGTGCCATCACGTTGGGTCTTCACATTTCACTGCCACCAGGCAGGAGCCCTGTTCTCCCCAGGACAGGGCTCTGCCCTGAGCTGCTCCGTGTGTTCCCAAGGCGCTGGGCAAGGAGCCCCCACGGAGCGTTGCGCTGGCAGCTCCAGGGATGTGGCTGCAAGCCAGAGAGCACCCAGGGCCACCCAACCCACCCAGCTGGCCACGGCGGGTCCTGCTCAGCCTCCCTGCCCGGCCCTGGCCTCATCCTGCACTGGGCACCAGGAGGTCACTGCCATAGTGCCAGTGCCCGCGGGGGATGTAGTGGCAGGGTGGGGGATGTGGTGGCAGGGTTGGGGATCCATGTGGGTAGGGTGGGCTCTCCCTGCCAGCACCTTCTCCTCCTCTGCCCCAGTCCATCCTGCATCAGCCTGCCCGGCTGGGCACCCCAAACTGCCCATCTCCCTTGGGTCTGGACCAGGGTGGTCGACTCTAAGCCACCAAGCTCTAATACCTTTATTATTGTCTTTGTGTGGCTGCTGAGTAGGTTAACTGCTCATTAGCAAGGATGGGCGGTGTGAGTGAGTTTAGGGGAGGGTAAATCAGTGCAGCGATGCTAAAGCACAGTAAATATTGCCCTTCTGTGCCCTTCTCCCACCCCTTTTGTTCTCTCCTTTCCATGTGTTTATGGGTTTTAGTTTGCTGGATCAGCTGGCTTTCAGTGCCCGTTGGGCTTTTCTTAGACGTGAGAAAAGCTATTTTATTTTAAGTTGCTCACACTTGGTAAAAACTTAGGATTTTCCTGGCAATTTAAATACTAAACACCTACTGTCCTGGTACTGCCAGGGAAGGCTGGAGGGCTCAGAGGCTCCTTCAGCAACAGGATGCTCCAGATAAGGGTGGAGCATGGAGGGGGGGAAGCAAATGCAGCACTAAGGGGTGCAGGTATAAACCACTGATAGCAGGCACTGGCACTTCAGTGTCTGAAGTGCAGGAGAAAGAAACCCAGACATTTTCCAGCTCCTCTTTGCAACAACGTGTTTATTGGGTACGCTTAAAAAACCAAACAAACCAACAACGAAACGAGAAGAAGGGATGCACAGACTGCCTGATCACATGCTCTACCCCAGGGTACGAACTCAAAACTACTTTGGGCGCTGGCTCTGTGGTGGCTGTAGCCGTGCCAGGAGGTTGGGCGTGCAGGCGCGTGGGGCGAGGTGACCCAGGACCCGAGCGAGAGGCGGGAGTGGCA